AACGCGTGGCGACACTGATGTTCGGTTGAACTTTGGAAGGCTTTCGAAGTTCACACGGATGTTATACAAGCCTTGAACGGATATATTGACCTCAAGTAGCGACAAGGCTGACAAGGCTCCTCATTAATGGGGGCAGACAATCAGCATCGACTTGGTAGAGAATTGAGCTGCAGTATCAGCTCTTCATTGGCAGAGCTAGCAAATCAAATCCAATAATGATTTCCTGAGGCGGAGAACTTTCCTGACCGGGAGATTTGGCTTCTTTTGCGAGTGCGATCGGTGCCAAGAGCCTTTTCAGGTGCACACGAAGACCACCTGTTCGGGCGATCCGCGATATCGGGGATATCACATGAATGTGCGCCCGTCCGCCCTTTCCCCTTCCTTCTTGCAGAGTGGAGACCCACCGAGACGTGAAGCCCCGCCCGGTGGACTCGCACGCTGCCGGCAGATGCACGGTGCTGGAGAAGCGCTGGAGGCCGCCTTCGCACACCTTGCAGAGGAGCCACCTGTCGTCTTCGTCCGGTGGCGGAGCGACGCGTCGGCCGCCTGAAGGCGTCGTGTGGCGCCAGGACCAGAACTTCAAAGTCCAGGCTGAGGTTGGACAGAACTCTTGCTGAATTAGGGGCTGAAACATTGACTTGAAGTGGCGCAGGCAGCCAAAGTAGAGGCTCTTCTGCAAGAACGTGTCGAGGGCCCTCAGGAGACAGGGTGAAGTCAAAGTGTTCCCTGAGACCAGGTTGTGAATGCTTTCTGTTGTTGTAAGTTGTATCCGCAGTTTTCAGACGTTCTTCTGAACATTTCTATTCGTTTTTGGCTATTGCCACAGCCATGTGCTATCTCAGGAGGACGTTCGCGCTGATAACATGAAAAGAGCTCATGCTGGCGTGGCACTTGGAAAAACTTGGCCCCTTTGACTAGCTATGAAAGAATGACAAACGACAAGAAAGTGCCAACACCCGGCTGTGCTGTCCAAACTTGTGTGGAATCAGCTCTACATCTAGCTAGCTGGGAAAACAATGTGCCCCGCACGATGATTAGACGATGCTTTGACCGTGACCCACGATGCCTTCCTTTGCAGGAATCTTTCTGCGCTGCTGGAGAGCTAGAGCATCTATTTCTCTCCTCTCTTGTTTTCTACTTTACTGCTCTTCCTTTCTTTTGTACTCTCCTTCGTGCTATATAGAGTAGGGCAAGCTAGAATGCAGTAGAATGTTGTGTACACTAGAGTCACGAAGGTAGACGATGTAAGAATGTACTTATTCCTGTACTCCTGGCAAGAATAATATTAAAAACTGTATGGATCATATTCTTTTGCCCAAGAACACTGAGTCACTGAGTGTACTGTGTGCTCCACATTGGGAGTGCTATCGAGACGTGCGAAGTTTTGCTACCGAGACGGGCAGGTCTCTGCAAAATGCGCCGGGACAATGGGCAACCTTCAGGCTATGGCGATGGTTTATGGTGGCCCTTTTAGAGGTGACCAGTCTAGCAGTGTTTGCAATCGAGGTGTCTAGCAGTTGTGGAGCTGCTGTGTCGACCTGCAGATGCGTTTATTGAACATCTTGGCTCGATCTCTAGCTCCAGTTGGGCGGCGCAGCTTTGCCTGTCTCCGAGACTCACCTCAAAGAGTGCCGGTATCGAAGACACGAGTATGCGACCTCAAGTATGTAGGTGTGCAGTGTATCATCATGTTCCGACTATATTGTACAGGATGTAGAAAAACATGCCAGATCATTTCGCTCTGGGCTTCTGGCATTCCTTGTATTCCTTGCAGCTGCATTTCAGGATTCTGAGCTTGATACACAAGCCGATTGCCTGTGACCTAGAGTTGAGAAGATACTGACATTTTCTTGTTCCACCCCGAGAAGCTGCAGTGATCCAATACCTTTGAATTGGGCTGGTCGAGTGCCCAGGCGGCTCAGTGCCAAATGCCGATGTTGTCGCGCTCGAAACTGCTGCGATCGGCGCTCTTGCGCAGCAAAACAAGGTCTGGGTTTCAGCTGGCAATGTGCTTCGTGAAAGGGCCGGATGTAGAGGTTTCAATAGCAGGTATCCCCGGGGATCTTGAGATTTGTTTTGCGAGGAATAGCCTGTTCGGGTGAGCAGTGTATTGAAGCTGTGCTTGGACAGGTTTGGTGGCTTTGGCTCTCCGAAGGACCACGCACAGTTCTGGAGGAAATTGTCCACAAGTTAGTCTTACCAGCGTCTGCAGTCTTTGTCATCCTTGTGTCAGGATCATGAGCCGGCATGGATTGAGCGATGGTCTGCAAATCGCCGTGAGGGCCAGGACAGACCTCGACAGCGAGAGGGACACGGAGGGAGAGAGAGAGAGAGAG